GGAGCCACTGCTCCTCCAGGCACCTCTGCCTGGGGTGGGGGACGAAGCGGCTCTTGGTTCCTGGGCTCGCCACGGATGTGCCCCCGCTCACCGCCGGCACGACTGCTCCTCTAGTGCTGGCGCAGAGGGAGGGAGGGCTGGTCGTGTCACCATGGTGCTGCCGCCACCTGACAAGCGCCATGTCTGTCTGACCACCATCGTCATCATGACCAGCATGGCCTTCATGGATGCCTACCTGGTGGAGCAGAACCAGGGTCCCCGCAAGATCGGCGTCTGCATCATTGTGCTGGTGGGGGACATTTGCTTCCTCATCGTGCTGCGCTACGTGGCTGTGTGGGTGGGGGCTGAGGTGAAGACGGCCAAGCGGGGCTACGCCATGATCTTGTGGTTCCTCTACATCTTCGTGCTGGAGATCAAGCTGTATTTCATCTTTCAGAATTACAAAGCAGACAAGAAGAACCTGGAGACGGTGGCCAGGAAAGCCCTGACCCTACTGCTCTCCATCTGTGTGCCAGGCCTCTACCTGGTGCTGGTGGCCTTGGACAGCATGGAGTACATACGGACCTTTCGGAAGAAAGAGGACTTGCGGGGGCGCCTCTTCTGGGTGGCCCTTGACCTGCTGGATATCTTGGACATCCAGGCCAACCTGTGGGAGCCACACAGGACTGGCCTGCCCATTTGGGCAGAGGGGCTCATGTTCTTCTATTGCTACATACTCCTCCTGATCCTGCCTTGCGTGTCCCTCAGTGAGATCAGCATGCAAGGGGAGCACATCGCCCCACAAAAAATGATGCTCTACCCTGTCCTCAGCCTGGTCACCATTAACATTGTCACCATCTTCATCCGGGCCGTCAACATGGTCTTGTTCCAGGACAGCAGGGTCTCCACCATTTTTATTGGCAAGAACATCATCGCGATCGCCACCAAGGCGTGTACCTTCCTCGAGTACAAGCGGCAGGTGAAGGAGTTCCCCCAGAATGCCATTGCCCTGGAGCTCCAGCAGAACTCCCTCTCGCACAACCAGACCATCCACAGTGCACAGGGCATCCCCCATGAGCCATCGCCCACCAGTGAGATTCTCGACACATGAGGGGTCCCCCCGGCCGAGCTTTGGTTCAGATAACCCCGTGCTGAGCAGAGGAGGGATGCTGCTTCTTGCTGCCCGGTGTGAGCGCGACAGACAAATCCCGGCAGTCAGGGCTCTTCTAGGCACAAAACACCAACCATATTTTAATTGAGCTATGGAGTGTCCTCTAGACGTCTTCATCTCAGGTATAACCCTAGGAGTCCTCCAGACAAACCAAATGTACTTGCAAAGGACCTGAACCAGCTAACCCTCTCTCTCCCTTCTGCCACCATCTTCCCTCCCAAGCAAAGACCACTAAGGTTGCAATGTCCCTTTTTACTCCCTGAGCACCTCACCTTTACTCCAAGCCTGGATCAAAGATTTTGTTACCGGAGACCTTTTTATGGAGTGAGGCCAGGGGCATAGGGGTGTGGATCGGG